AACTCTTTTTTCTTTGTTATCTATTTGATGTCGTCATTAATTAAAATAATTAATCAAGTTACACACAACAGTACAACTCTAATTAATATAATTACAACAATACAAAAATAATTACACTCGGACAACAAAGGGAGGTCACAATTATAAGACAGTAATTATCGGGTTATGCCCCTTGGCGCGCCTAAGGCACACAGGCGCGCGCCTTAATGAGCGCCTCCATTTTGTGGTTTGATTCATACCTACTACACTACTTGAAAGTAAAGGCAGATAAAGTGTAGAGATCATGATTACAAGTTGCTGTTAATGGATATAAGGCTAGAGACAATGGTGAAAACCTCTAGCCGATCATTCTTTTTACGCAGTCCTGATAAAGCTGCTCCTAGGCAATCGTTTTGTCCAAGTTACATCACAAACTAGTTGCGGGAAGGAAACTCACTGTAAAAACCCTCTTTTAGGTCTTCCGATGCTTCCCCGGTATTGGTGGGGGGAATATATTAAGACGTGTAATTACCATCCCAACTCCTACTAAAGTCAATCGCGAGCACTGTGTGTATGCGCAGTGTCGGATCGACCGGTTGTCCTTGGGTTGAGGCTTCCAGTCGAACGCGATCAAGCGGACTCGGGTGGGGGTTGCGCTGGCAAAGGAATATCTGCACGTGCCACTTCTCGGCCCAATACTTGGGTTTAGGGTGCGCTTTGGGAAGAGCATAAGGATCATTAGCTCTACGGCCCACCGGTGCCATTTCCTAAGGTGCTATTTCAGTGGTTTTGACTTATTCTGTAATTTTATTAAATTGAGCGATAGTTTCTGAAATCGTCAGCCCCACATAATCGTTCTTACGTATTTGACCCAGTGTCATAATCTATTTAAGACGACGGGAAATAAACCAGCGTTCAGTAGATGACAAGAATTAAGCGTATGTGTTTGTGTTTCAATGTGCTGTATATGCGGGCTTTGTTGCAGCAATTGCCGGAAATTTCATTGTGTCATAATGTTACTGGGACTCCATCTTCGGTTTTTATTTCATGCTTTTCCTTCTCTTAGATCAATTGACATCGAAGGTTAACGAGTCCAAACCATCTAGTGTGCTAGGTATTTTTTCTAGTCTAGGGGTTTTCTGGGGATTTAAACTTATTCCAAGGCTTGGGACTGTCTCTGTTTAGACTACTCTGCCGTCCCTCCCCATTACATACTGGTTATAACATTGCTACCGGAGAAAATTCCAACGGCTAAAATGTGATAATAGCTTAAATTTGGTGAATCACGAAAAAAATATGATTATAGTGGCTAATGATGACAATGACTAACTGTGATAATATCTGGCTAATGCTGACAACGGCTGTAAGTGATAATAGCTGGCTAATGTGAACCATAACTAAAAGTTACAATAGCTGGCTAATGTGGACCACGGCTAAAAGAGATAATAGCTGTCTAATGTGGACCATGGCTAAAAGGGATAATAGCTGTCTAATGTGGACCATGGCTAAAAGGGATAATAGCTGGCTAATGTGGACAATGGCTAAAAGGGATAATAGCTGGCTAATGTGGACCATGGCTAAAAGGGATAATAGCTGGCTAATGTGGACCATGGCTAAAAGGGATAATAGCTGTCTAATGTGTAGCATGGCTAAAAGGGATAATAGCTGGCTAATATGGACCATGGCTAAAAGGGATAATAGCTGTCTAATGTGGACCATGGCTAAAAGGGATAATAGCTGTCTAATGTGGACCATGCCTAAAAGGGATAATAGTTGGCTAATGTGGACCATACCAAGAAAATGATCAGAATTACTTCACAACGGATCAATTAAAAACCTTAAAGTGGGCGAGGAATCAATTCTTTTAAAAGTGATGATGAACTTTTTACTTACTGAGAAGAGTAAGGAAGAAGTTGAAATAACACACGTTTGCAATCTTTCATAATGTGTGAAGAAACAGGTTACACATTTACAACAATAAGCTGACATCTTTTAACAATCAGCTGTAACCCTTACACCAAACAGCTCAAAACTTCACACAAATTAGATGACACATTTACACCAATTAGCTGACTCTTTTACTCCAATCAGCTAACTCCTTTACACAAATATGCTGATTCCTTTACACCAGTTAACTGACTCCTTTACACCAATCAGCTGCCTCCGTTATTCAAAACTCCTGACATTTTTTCACTAATCCGCAGACACCTTTAAATCAAACAGGTGAATCCTTTAAAACAATAAGCTTAAACCTTTAAACCGATCAGCTGACAACTTCAAACCAATAAGCTTACACATTTACACCAATTACTTGACTAATTTACACCAATCAGCGGACTCTTTTATACCAATCAACTGACACCTTTACACCAATCAGCTTAATTTTTGACACCAATCAGCTGACACCTTTACACCAATCAGCTGACAGCTTTACACCAAATGGCCAGCTCTTTTACACTAATCAGCTGACAACTAAACACAAAATAGCTGAATCGTTTGCACCAATCAGCTACAATTTTTAAATTAAACAGAGGATTCCTTTACACGAAACAGCTGACTCATTTACACCAATCAGCTGAAAACATTACACCAAACGGTTGACTCCTTTATGCCAATCAGCTGAAACCTATAGACAAATCATCTGAACTCTTTTACAACAATAAGCTAAGTCTTTTACACCAATCAGCTAACTGCTTTACACAAATTAGTTGACTCCTTTATACCAAACAGCTGTCTCCTTTACACCAATCAGCTGACACATTGACACCGTAAAGTCTTGTTAATATAACTGTGCGTGTGTTCATTTATCCTAAAATCGTTAAATAAAATCTTCCCCTTCCTTTTAAGTTCGTAAAAGTCTTACAGTATTAAACTTAAAATAATTTTTCTATCACATACCAAGTAGAGCAATGAAGCTTTCGGGGTGGCTCCTGGCTGCTGTAAAAGGGTGGAAAAAAGTGACAAATCAGACCTAACACATTTTTACAATTCTATAGTTTTCTTGAAAAACATCCAAATTTGAATATTTTTTTAAAGTTCATTGCGAACTAGATTTTTTCTTTATCTCGTTTACAACATGTACTCTACATGGAACCGTTAAAATTTTTAATCTACACATGACGGTTAAAACATGTAATCTACATGGGACAATTAAAACATTTTATATGCATATGATAGTTAAAATATTTAATCTACCCATGATAGTTAAAAATGTATTCATCAAATTATCGTTAATTTGACACACCTACACACACACACAATTTAAAATTTCAGATCCAGTCACGTTTAGGAAAAGAAAATTTTGTTACCTCCATTAACAGAAGCACTTGTGCACGAAGGAGTTGCTGAAAGATACAAGATACTTTTGAGAAGATAACAAATTTCTTTAACTTAATTTTGGCAAAAATCAGTGTGGACCATCAAATGTATATACCGTGATGTTGTAAACATATTTGGCGAGAACGTATCCCCAGTTTTAATAAAGTTGATTTCTACTTTTGTATTGAAATCCTAGGCCGGGCACAACTAGTCAGTTGAACCAAAGTAATACTTCACCCTCAAGTGGATTAACTTAATTGAACACAAAGGGAGGGAGGGAGGGAGGGAGGTGGGTCGGTGGGTAGATGGGTAGGTGGGTCGGTGGGTAGTTGGGTACGTGGGTAGGTGGGTAGGTAGGTGGGTAGGTAGGTGGGTAGGTAGGGAGGTGGGTAGGAGGGTGGATGGGTGGGTGGGTAGATATATAGATAGTTGGATAGATGGATGGCAAGCAGATCTAAACATAACGTGATTACTTTTTTTATTTACAGCATACAACTCGTCATATAAAATAAGCGAATGCATGCAATATTGTTGCAATTTATCTACGACCTGACATATAAAATGAAAACAACGCACCACGCCCAGTCACACAAAATGAAAACAACACACCACGCCAGTCACACAAAATAAAAACAATGCGCCACGCCCAGTCACACAAAATGAAAACAATGCACCACGCCCAGTCACACAAAATGAAAAACAATGCACCACGCCCAGTCACACAAAATGAAAACAACGCACCACGCCCAGTCACACAAAATGAAAACAACACACCACGCCCAGTCACACAAAATGAAAAACAATGCACCACGCCCAGTCACACAAAATGAAAACAACGCACCACGCCCAGTCACACAAAATGAAAACAACGCACCACGCCCAGTCACTTAAAATGGAAACAACACAGGATGACAGTTCACAAATGGTAATCATTGCAAACATAAATAATCGTCACTTATGCATACTGTCATAGAGAGAAGTCGAGATGGTAATGTTGTACAGACACGTTGTGATGACAGTAATGGCCAAACAAGTTCAGACGGCAGTATGGGAGAGGCAAAGGGCCGAAAGAAGTTTAAAATTTTCGGTAATATCGCTGATCAAGACATGATCTGATTTTGAGTGTCTCCAAAACTGAAATAAATATTTCATTCTCACAATGTGAGTACATTTTATAACTGGCTTGATACATTTCTAATTTTATTGGTTGTTTTTCTCATTTTGTTTATGGTTTAAATAATTAATTCATGGATTCAATTACATTATTTCAAAGTGCAATGTTTTATTTAAGGCTATTTACGATTTATTATATACTTTTCTAAATTTACACTGGTCATTTAAAGATAATTTTAACAACAGCGATAACTTATCTTGTGTGACGTTAACGTTGTCATGAAATATAACCGCTTGATATTGCACAATTACACTAATCCTATAACGATAAAGTATCCTTTACTCCTAGTGTATACGATACATTACCAGCAGCTGATTTCCAGAATATATCGTTATAAAGGCGTAGGTTTACAATGTGTTTTGAAGAATTTAATGTTGTACTTTTAAACCGACTCAACCGAATTCATTCAAAATAAACTTTCTTTTTTTTTTTGCAACTCATTATACGAAAGGCTTACCGTATATAGTGGGCATTTCTACAACTTGGCTCTAATACGGACCAAAAAAGTAGTAGCGCAAAGCGATGTTCACTCGGTTGTACATCATTTTTGCCGTAAGGTTGCACTTGAGCCGGATGTAACGTGAATCCATGAACGTGCAGACACAAGAGTCGATCTTGATTCTATCCACGTCACTACAGGTTTTCAATTTGCCCAATCGAACTTCTGTTCCAGGAATCTAAACGAATTTAGAAAATATTTTTTCTTTTTTAAAATTGGTTGTTCACGCAATGTTTCTTTTTTTTTCAAAATCTAAGGTAACTTAATGGTTTGTTTCTATTTTATAATCAATATATCTTTTGAATTTTAAAGTTTAATACATTTTTCTAAATCTTTTTTCCTCTTAACTTTCGTTACCTATTTGTAATTTCTGTCTTTATTACAACCATTGCATTAAAACATGGCCACAACTTTTCTCAATACATGTTTTTCTTGCCTTTCAGGTATCACTATTTGTCTGAGACTTTGGTTAATGTCTCTCTTGCCTCTCAGATATCACTATTTGTCTGAGACTTTGGTTAATGTCTCTCTTGCCTCTCAGATATCACTATTTGTCTGAGACTTTGGTTAATGTCTCTCTTGCCTCTCAGATATCACTATTTGTTGAGACTTTGGTTAATGTCTCTCTTGCCTCTCAGATATCACTATTTGTCTGAGACTTTGGTTAATGTCTCTCTTGCCTCTCAGATATCACTATTTGTCTGAGACTTTGGTTAATGTCTCTCTTGCCTCTCAGATATCACTATTTGTTGAGACTTTGGTTAATGTCTCTCTTGCCTCTCAGATATCACTATTTGTCTGAGACTTTGGTTAATGTCTCTCTTGCCTCTCAGATATCACTATTTGTCTGAGACTTTGGTTAATGTCTCTCTTGCCTCTCAGATATCACTATTTGTTGAGACTTTGGTTAATGTCTCTCTTGCCTCTCAGATATCACTATTTGTCTGAGACTTTGGTTAATGTCTCTCTTGCCTCTCAGATATCACTATTTGTCTGAGACTTTGGTTAATGTCTCTCTTGCCTCTCAGATATCACTATTTGTCTGAGACTTTGGTTAAAATCTCTCTTGCCTCTCAGATATCACTATTTGTCTGAGAGGTATCAATATTTGTCTGAGACTTTGTGTAATAGATTTTTTTTGCTTAAAAATATATCGCTATTTGCTTTGATTTTGGTAATATGTCGTATTTCCTAATACACAAATATCTTCTTTTGTCCCTTTATTCCGTTAATTTGTGTCTTCCGTACTGCCAACAAATTCCTATTGATCCTTACCTAGATGTAATGAAGTCTAATGAAAGCCAAAAATAAATCTTAATTTACTCGTGAAGATGGATTATGTAGCATGACATTGTCAAACGGTACGTAAATAAAAATATTTTAACAAACATATTTGTATACGCAGTGATGAAAATGTCGAGAGTACAATTTTGAAAGTACAATCCCACTAAATTTGTATTAAATCATCCTTTCGTAAATTGATTAAAGGTTTGATAGTGAAAAATGTATTCGACTAAAATATATTTTTAAAAATATTTTGAAGTTTTAATGTAAACTTCAGATTTTTCTTCATATCATTCTTTTTCAAACAAGTTAATTTTGGTGACAATATCTTTGAATGATGTTATTTATGGGATGGTGTTATTGTTGAATTAGTGACAAGTCACCACCTTGAGAAATATTCACCTATTATTCACGGAAGTTGACTGGGAGCTAGCTGAATAAGACCAGGTGGAGAAAATGGCATTCGTGACGTACTTTGAGAATTTAAGAGCCATTAGACAAAGAATCAATAAAATACTACACGGCTCATGAGCTTTTGGTTGCAGTTGCATTAATTTACCAAACAGTCTCTTTAGCCATTCGAAAAATTGTAATTTTGCTACTCATTTGTCTCGTAAGCTATTAAATAAAGTGTCGATAAGCTACTCCATTGTCCCGAAGGCCAATTAAATAAAGTTTCAATAAGCTACTCTGTTTTCTACGGAGCCATTTTAGTAAGTATGAATAAAATTCATTTCTTTTCTATTGGTGTAATCAAAAAAGTTTAAATAAGCTGCAATTTTGTCTACGTAGCCATTTAATAAAGTGTAAATAACCCTCTACTTTTTCTCGTTAGCCATTTATTTAATAGTCAATCATCTACTCCGTTGTCTCGTGTGCAATTCAATCAATATTTATTAAGCTACTCCCTCGTCTCAAGAGCATTTTGTCTCGTGGCCCATTAAATAAAGTTTTAATCAGCTTTTCCATTGTCTCTAGAGCAATTCATTAAAGTGGTAATAAGTGAGAAGTCTCTATTGTCTCGTAAACCAAGCACAAAAGTGTCAATAAGCCACCCCATTGTCGCGTGAGCCTTTCAAAAAAAGTGTCAAACGGCTACAGCGTTGTCTCGCAAAAAATTCCAAAAGACGTGTTTTTAAGCTTTTCCATTATCTCGTGAGCTATTCTTAAAGTGTCAATAATCTACGCCATTGTTTTAGGAATTATTCAATAAAGTGTAAATAAGCAACTCTTTGTCTTGTTAGCCATTTAAGAAACAGCCAATAAGTTACTCCGTTGTCTCGTGAGCTATTCATAAAGTGTCAATAAGCTACGCCATTGTTTTAGTAATTATTCATTAAAGTGTCAATAAGCTACCTCTTTGTACCATGAACTTTTCACAAAAATATCAATACGCTTCTTCTTTGCCTCGTGAGGCGTTCAGTAAGATGTCAGTATACTACTCTTTGTCTCGTTAGCCATTAAAGAAACAGTGAATAAGTTACTCCGTTGTCTCTTGTGCTTTTCATTAAAGAGTCAGTAAGCTACTCGATTATTTCCTGAGCCGTTCAATAAAGTTTCAATAACCTACTCTATTGTCTAGTTAGTCGTTTAATAAAGTGTCAATAACCTACTCTTTTGGCTAGTTATCCGTTCAATAAAGTGTCAATAACCTACTCTATTGGCTAGTTAGCCGTTAAATAAAGTGTCAATAACCTAATCTATTGTCTAGTTAGCCGTTTAATAAAGTGACAATAACCTACTCTATTGTCTAGATAGCCGTTTAATAAAGTGTCAATAATCTACTCTATTGTCTAGTTAGCCGTTTAATAAAGTGTCAATAATCTACTCTATTGTCTAGTTAGCCGTTTAATAAAGTGTCAATAACCTACTCTATTGTCTAGTTAGCCGTTTAATAAAGTGTCAATAACCTACTCTAATGTCTAGTTAGCCGTTTAATAAAGTGTCAATAATCTACTCTATTGTCTCTTGAAAATGAAACGTTGCCAAAAATTTATTTTTATAAAGGAGAATAATGAAAATCGAGAAAAACAGATTTGATTATTTTATTAAAAAATGTGTGATAATGTGCTACTTACCAATACATAACGATCAAAGTCTTCTGTATAAAAAATACCGAACTCGCCCAATCGACCGTATATCGCGTAGGTTATGTTGATAAGACCTTTTAAGAGAAAGTAATCTTGCTCTGCTACCATTCCATTGCTGCAGCTTTTCTTGTACGAGTTTTCATTGAGCCGATCCAAAAAAGCATACTTATGCACATTCCAAATGTCTTCAACTACGAGTGAAATGGGAAAATCGTAAGAACATATCATTAGTATAATAGGTTATTTCATGGTAAATTTTCTTCCCTTTAGCAAATAATGTCACAAACTAAATTACCCCGTTATGTCTAGTATTAAGTAATCTTTTAAAAGCAGTTTGAGGGTTTTTACAAAATGTTAAGAGCTGTTCCTGATATTAATGTTTATCCCATGTACAAATCAATTAAACATAAATCAGTAATTTATCTTACGGACAGTTAATAAATTTAACAATACTTGTCAAAACGTTAATAAAGAACGTTTGCGATATTAATGTCTTAGCTGGTAGGTAACTCAATACTAGACGCAAAAGAACATCATAAAAGTCTTACTTGTTAGGTAACTCGGTACTAGAAGCAGTAGGACAACAGGAAGGCTTCCAGTAACTTTAAACATTTTTTAGAAGTTTGATGTCAGCATGAGATTTGATTTCCTTAAATCATCCTGTACAAATTTGCAACAATACATAGCGATACAATTGTGCTGTTTTAGAAATTGTGTCCTTAAATTTAAATTTCCATATTTTTCTCCGTTTTTCGGCTATTTTTCTAGAGCTGCGCCGACTTAGTCATATCAGACCTTTCTTTACGTTAGATGCATCAAAGACGTCTGCATTTGTGCTATCGCGCATGGACTATTGCAATGCTCTCATGGTGGATCTTCCTGCTACGCTCCTGGATAAAATTTAAAAAGCACAGAATAATGCGGCTCGCATTGTTCTTCGCAAACGCAAATTCGGCCATTCTAAAACACTTCTGAGAGAGCTGCACTGGCTGCCGGTCAGCACCCGCATAGAGTAAAAGATTGCAACTTTGTGCTACCGCTGCTTACATGACCTGGCGCCATCTTATCTCAAAGCACTCATGACTCCTTATGTACCCACTAGAGAGCTCTGCTCATCAGATAGTGGCAAATTATCGATAAAGTGTGTTCGCCTTGAGACTTACAGAAAGCGCACTTTCGCATTTGCTGGCCAAACAATTTGGAACACCCTTCCTGTCGCTCTCATAAGCAGCCAGTCACTGGAGTCTTCCAAAACTGATTTGAAGACATATCTATTTCGCAAACACCTGCTGGGATGATTTTGTCGATCTAGCCGTAACACATGCTAATCATTGTAATAGTAGAATGGTTTACTATTTTACTTTTATTGATGGTTCAGGATGATGGCTTTTCATATGTAATGTAATAACTAATTCACATTTTTCACTCGATGGCCTATCACACACAAAAGTAGATGAATACTTCCACGAATAAATTACACAGTACTTTATTACTTTACTTACAACAACAATAATAATAATATGTCTTGCATTAATATCCAAGTAACAAATCCAGAATGCAATTATCTCATACATATATAATACTCCACGGAATGATGGAAATAATTAACATGACAGTAAGTTAAACATGTCTTCTCTTGTCTTCGACTTAAAATGTACTGCCCTGATCACCCGAAACGTGCGGCTCACTTCCGCTGTACACAAATATAGTTCATTCTCTTTTACCGTGAAATAATGCAAGTTAATGGAGCTCACAATTCAACTCATGACACCTCCCTGACTTAATGGTTTCCTGTGCAAAATTGCAGACATGGTCTGTTACACTAGCTATTATCTTGTGGATGTGTATTTGCCTGTGTTTTTATGGTTGTTAAGTATGTAAGACTTAGAATGGTCATTCTCGTATAGCTTTTGCAATGTTGCATGCTGTATTTCAATGTGGTATATTACAGATTGTTTCATTTCTATGTTAATATACTAGACTCTGTACCACGCTTAAAGCATTTGGGGATGAAGCGTGATTTTCAAATTAACTTTATATTTATTTATTTATTATTATTATTTACCTGATTTCGTTACTTTGACAGATAACACTTTTCTTCCTTGAAAATTCCTTGCATTTCCTTATGAAAAGAAACTTTAATAAAAAAAATAGTGACCAACTGATCGAGCGTTCATTGTTAAGTTCTATTCACTGGTGTGTTTCTGATTTTAAAAAACAACAGTAATCTCCAGTTTAAAAATGTGTTTTGTTTGAGCTGAAATCAAACATCATTAAAAATTAAGGAACAAGAGAAATAATTTTATAAGTGAGTACAAATACTTTTGAGGAGTTTTAAGGTGATTACATAAGTTAATGGGAGTCGTTTAGTCACTTCCTTGATTGGTCACGTGATGAGAGTAAGCCATCACTAGGCTGCTAAAAACAAAAAAGATACTTCCTCAGTGCTTCCCCAATGTCATGTTACTTAAAAAATTTTACCTTTCAAAATATTCTGGAACACACGCGTTTTTTAAATGAAAGACATAAATGTGACAATAAATATATGTCAATTATGATTAAAGAAAGAACGTTATTTCAAGAAAAACTTGTGAGCGATATTTGATGGGAACTATCAATACTATCATCGGAAGGCTGTTGTTGAGCCCCGTGCGTTCCCGTGACGTTATTTGCGTGTTTATTCCATATGTGTGCAGGAGTCATTCCCCTTCGTTTATTTTATTGTTAATTTTAATTGGACGAAATGTCGGCAAACCCATGACATAATGTGCGTGTTTATTCCATATGTGTGCGGCGAAGGGATATTTTAATAACCAGTTGGAACAAGATTTCATGTGAATAATTAACGAAGGTCCAATTGGTCAAGCCATTGTCTTAAATTTTCTTTATCCTTAAGCGGAAACGTATGCAGACTTATACCGCTGTCCTTAACTTGACTGTTTGAACAGCCAAAAGCCGAACATTGCCTAGGCATCTTGAATTACTAGTTGTAGTGTGTAACGGGCTATTGTTGTCAAGCACTAGTGTGTTGTATACAGCCTACAGGAAATCTTACTCTTTTTTATTCTCATCACGTGACAAATCAATCAACTAAGCGACTCCCATTGAAGAGCTTCAAAAATTTTCAAACATAAATATGTATCATCAATATATTAAACCGCATTAGAAGAAATATGTTAGAAAAGATAACATTAATTAATGAAATAGTCTGACCTCATCCAACAACGACAAGGGAAACCGAGTAGCTCTGTGTTTTGTTTTATTTTTATGTTCCTAAATCGTTTTATTTAGCCAAGTTATTTAGCGCAACAAATTATTCCAGCATAGGGTCTGCTTAGAAATTCAGGAAGCGCATCTTTGCATTATATTGTATAGTGCTTTGTGGTGCAAACCTTTTAATTGGTTTTTAGTGTGCAATTATATATTTGAATTTTGTTTTTAATGTGTTTTCCCATAGTACACAAATGTCACGTGTACAAAGATTTTAGTAATCATTGTTCAAAAAAGAGGGCAATACTGATGTAAGCAGTCCTATTCAAACGTCAAATCTGGGGCAAGCAATCCTAGTTAAACGCTTGGATTTTCGTCTTTTCAGCTAGTCGTAAGATGTACCTTGCAAGGTAAAAAAATAACGTTTTCTGCTCATTGGGCGAGATAGTAGCCCTCACTCGAGTAGGGTTCAAAGGATTTACCTGAGGCCTACAAGGTGCCAAAACGGAACTTCACACTTCAAAATTGGAAGTTAGATGGATGGTTATAGTTATACTATGGCTTATTGTTAGGGCCCTCTCAGTTCAGGGAGGTTCGAAGTCTATGTACTATAAATAGAGCTGACTTTAAGCATGACCTGATTTTAGAAGTGTCCCCCTAACCCTCTGCCTACTTTGCAAACGCTGGACAGTGCATTGCGCACTGTGGTTGACGGCTCGCCCCTTTCACCCACCACAATTTTAGCTCAGCATGATCAGCTCCCTTGTATGTGATCATTAGGGAAGAACATTGCAGTGCCAAGAAAGAGTTACATAAAGCGGAAAAGAAGTGGTTGAGGTCAGGTCTTGATGTTTTTAAAGCATATCTATTCCGCTGCGTGTCACTCAGATTGACGTGCTAAAACTTTTTATTTTAGAAAAAGGTAACTATGGGTAAAACCAGCAGGCTTTTTTCGACCTATGTAGTCACTTCAGAGGGATTACCAAAAGAAATGCTCTTTCTTCACTGTATCATAAGCGCCACCAACAAGATAATTTATGTGATTTCTGTACAAGCAATGTATTTTCTACCGTACTGACATTTATTTCACAATTAATTTTATCCTGGAATCACGACACGACCTTTCAACATGGCAGCCTTCAACCTCGTCCAATATATCTATGGGGTACGTCCATATGTTTATAAATTAGAGTACTTTGCCCATGGTTGCCGCCTACTTTTACCAATATGGGTTGGTTCCAAAATCATGTTTGTTGTTTCTAAACTTGATTCCAGTAAGTTAAGTAGGGTTAATTAAAACAGATCCAATAATACTGTACTTAAAGTAAAATTTAAACTTTTACTTGGAATATTTTCTCTCCTCTCCATTTACGGTGACGTCATACGATACATGTTTACTTAGCAAAAGCATGACAACCACAAATGATATGATAGCAGAAAGGATTTGCACCAACATATTATGCTCTTTTCTCTCTGAAAATAAATATTTTTTACACATTGTGATCTTACCAAATACAATTTTGTGTCTCAATTGATTATATCTAATATCAAACGAGTATGCACAAAGTTATACTGTTACGATTTGTATTGTAGTTCCCAATTAAAATAATTTTTTGCATAAGTAGTAAAATGTTATATTTAAGATGTTTCTTTTTTCCTCCACATCTAAACAGAATACTCTTTGAACTGCTAGTATTAAATAACATCAGTTTAACGATTCCTTCGTCTTATAGATTTTCTAAAACATTTTATTCTATAACATATTTTAGGATTTAAAAAGAATATAAATTTATAAATCCCGTAAGGTTACTTGGTATATTTGGAAACTTGTCCATCGTTCCCTTAAATAATTTGAAACTTGTTCACCGTTCCCTGGTACACTTTGAATCTTGTTCACAGTTCCCTAGTAAAATTTGAAACTTGTCCATCGTTCCATGG